GGCGGAAGCGCTGGGTCCTGGGTCCTGGGTGCGGGAGCCTCCCCCGAGGGTCCCCGGGGACCTTCTCTCTCCAAGGGGCTACCCAGATGCGTGCAGTCCCCTGGATGGGGTGTCTGCAGGAGCACGGGGGCATGTTGGAAACGGGGACCCTCTGGCACCCCGCAGACCATTCCGGCACCCTTGGCGAGCCCTCTCGCTGCAGCACCTTCTCCTTGCACCTTCTCTCTGGCACCCGAGCGGCCGGAGGGGTTGGGGGACTTTTGCAGACTTTGGCAGGAGGCAGTAGGACGAGGGCAAATGCCTGAGGCCAGCTTATGCCCACTCCATCCGGGCTCGTAGCAGCCTGGTCCTGGGCTGCCAGACCCAGACAGGACATGGCCTCCTGCCCCGCTCTGTCCTTGGGAGGGGACACGAGGCAGAGGGACCCGCTCGGCCTCAGCACCGCTTGGGCACTCACTGCCCATGAGGTCCCTCCTCGCCCTTGTAGAGCTGGGCTGGGACCGAGCTGCTCGCTCTCCTTGGTGGTGTAACGCTGCTGTCCCGTGGTCATCCCAGGGGACAGGGACTGTGTCCCCGCTCTCTGCATCTCCCTCTCAGCAGCTCACAGGCTGGGAAGTCAGGAGCTTTCTGAGGGGTGCAAAGACCCTCATGGTGTGAAACAGCCCTGACAGCCAGCTGGTACCTGGCCCCACGCTTCCCTGAGCCCCTGGACAGCGGTTTCACCAGGGGCCTGAGCCGATGTGAGCGAGCGAGGGCAAAGCCTTCTGAAAACCTTCCCTTTCCAGGGGGGAGAATAACTATTGAAATACAAGACGATGCTGTAAGACTTCAAAGCGCCCGTCAGCCAGGGTGAAATGCTGTCAGCTGGGGCAGTGAAGCTTGTTGAATAAAAGGTCTTTGTCCTGCAGAGATGTTTGGCTCATCTCCAGTCACCATCGTGATCACATCTGAGGCTGACACCTGGGACATCGATGCCTCCTCTTGTCTGGGCTGTGGACAGTTCGTGGATTGGGACAGGATGCCAGAGCCACAGCAACAGGCACATATCCCCCGAGACATCCTCAGCAAGACCCCGAAGGAGCTGAAGAAGCTGGCAAGAGATGGCTACTGGGCCGCAAGCCGTACTCTGAGAGCTCAGGTCTACCACCAGCTCATCCAGCAGGTCGCCTGCCGGCTCGTCACCCCAGACGCTCTCGTTTACAGGGATGTGGCGAGTCGGCTCTTTGGGAAGCTGAGTGTGAGCTCCCACCCTTTGCCTGAGTTCCTGGAAGGGTGCTCCATGCCCACGTACTGCCTCAACCTGGAAGGGGTCACCGCCTTGAAGAAGATCCTCATCTGTGTTGGCAACCTTTTCCCCGATATAACCTACAGCCCAATCCTCCCCTCTCTGGTGGCTCTGCTGCTGCACTACAGCGAAGATGAAGCTCAGTGCTTCGAGAACATCTCTCGTCTCATCGCCAGCAACGCTCCCCACACCAGCTACATTGACCAGTCCTTCCTGGCCCACCAGGCCTCCTGCATGACTTTTGGGGATCTGGCCAACAAGCACTGCCCAGCAGCTCACAAACTCATAGCCAGCACCGCTGAGAACGTCTTTGAGATCTACTCTGAATGGTTATCATGGCTGTTTCATGACCTCCCCTTCAATTACGCCATCCGCGTCTTTGATGTCTACCTGCTGGAGGGGCAGAAGGTCCTCTACCGCATCGCTCTGGCCTTGCTGAAGCAGTACAGGCTCTCGGTGACGTCTGCCGAGCTGGAGGGGACTGACATCAAGGCAGACCTGCAGGCTTTCGTGCAGAACATTGCTGAGCACATGACTGTCGACAAACTCCTAGAGAGAGCCTTTGGCATCCGGCTGTTCTCCCGCAAGGAAATCTGGCTTCTCCAGATGGCCAACAGGAAGGCGTTAATGGAGAGGGGCATAACCATGGTGCAGAGCAGGTAAGGAGACCTCTCTCTTTGCCAGCTCTTGGGGCTAAGCAGACAAAATACGAGTTACAGTGGAGATACAACATGGGGGCAGATTCAGTTATCTCCCGTAGCTTTGGCTATGCTGGGTGCCTCACAGCCCCTCGTGGGGGACCCTGTTAGGAAGCACTGTACAGTTAGAGCTAGCGATGTGAACAGAAAGCTCACGATGCAAAAAGCATGACAAAACCTGATGCATGGGGGCTGCACCCCTAAAAGCAGACAGGCACCCCTAAAAGCAGACAGGCACCCCAGCTTGGCAGTAATGGGAGTCTGCTCTCATGCAGGCAGTCCTTCCACCTGGCCGTGGACATACAGAACTTCAGCTCCAGCATTGTAACAGCCCAGGAGATGCGCATCGTCTGGTCCTGGATCCCTGAGCGCTTCTCCCTCTTCCCCCCGCTGCTGCTCTTCTCCACCTCAGAAGATGGGTGCAGCCTGCAGAGGTAAAGCATCATCTGCCCATTGGGTCAGGTTGCATCGAATGGGCCAGGCTGGGTGGAGGTTGGTGGTGTAGAAAGGAGCAACACGTAGTGTCCATGGGGTACATCTGAGGTGTCCTGGGGACTCTCTTGGGCTTGATTCAAGATCTTGAACGTGGTCTGGGCCAGTGCTGGCTGTAGGGAGGGGGCTGAGGCTCAGTCGGATGGCAGTCAGCAACTTGGTGCTGCACAGGGAGCATCGAGTCTGTGGATATGCTGTACAGAGGGATGTCCCCGAGTGCCACATCGTGCCAGGTCCAGCCAGCACGCCATCCCCAGGGCTCCAGCTCCCTCCCAGCGGCATGGAGCACAGGACAGCTGCTGCATGCTGCAGTCAGTGCTGCAGCTCAAAACTGAGCTGGAAAACGAGTTTGCCATTGACTTCCCAGGCTGTGAAGCAGCAAAAGCCTTCCAGTGGGCTGAGGCCACCTTTGCATGAATGTTTTCAGGCAGGAAAACCAAACCTGCTCCTCTGTAGGAGCTGAGAGGTTGCACTCACAGAACAGGCAGAGCTCAGGGCAGGGGCAGACAGCATGTGGTACATCCTCTGATGGGGAAGACATCAAACCCTCTAAACGCAAGTTAAGAGAGCCCAAGTGTCATGGCCAGTGCCCAAAACTGCAATAGAAAACCTTCTTTTGAAAACAGTGTCAGCGCTGGAGACAACCCAGGACCCAGTGACACCCACTGCCATGGTCACGGAGCGAAGGGTGTGGTGGGAAGCAGGAACATCCCTGCAACGCTCGGTGCCGGGGCGTTTCTGTACTGAGATGCAGCTCACCGCTGACCGGGAGGGGACGCCGGGCTGTCCAGGGGCTGGGTGCTGCCCATGCCACCCCGGTCCTCAGGGCAGTGTTTAGAGGTGGGGCTGCGATGGTAGTGCCTCCGTTAGCACCACGAGCGTGCTCCCCCAGCCCCTGAGGGGCGAGCAGGCACCCCGTGGCAGTGGTGCGGCCCCATCCTGGGAAGTGCAGCCCTGCACCTTCCCAAGGCGGCAACGGGGTGCAGAGCTCAGATTACAAAAGACATCCAGATTAAAAGCAAGCTTGTTTAGTAAACTCCCCCCATGAAGCATCCCCCTCAGCCTAGTGCCTGAGGGTAGGGTGGGAGGATTTAGTGTTTGGATTTATGTGAGCTGTTACCTGCTTTACCAAGCAAAAAGGATGACTTGAGAAGTCCCATAAGCCAACCCCCTCCGTTCCTGCTCGAGCTTCTGCTGCTGTCCTTCCACAAGCACCCTCGGGCCAGCTGCTGGCACAGTGACAGGCTGGGCAGAGCCGCCACCAGCCTCCACTGTCCTTTACAGCCTCGTGCTCGCCGCGCACCCGGGCTCATGGCATGCTGTTCTGGGGTCTCAGGCCCCCACCGACCCAGACTCCTTGTTCATCTCTGCAGGTTTTACACGTGCTGCGAAGGCTACGAACCAACGGTGCTGCTCATAAAAACAACGGAGGGGGAGGTAAGGATCTCCCAAGCAGAGAAGTGGGCTGCTTTGGTGCTGATGTGGGGAAGGGGGTGGGGAGATTGACACCACCAGCACTTCTTGGAGCAGCCATGGGGCTGCGTGGTCCCTCTCCTGCTGTGTCCCAGGGTCTGTCCCAGCTCTCAGGAGAGAACAAACTGCACACCCCGGCACCAAGAGCCACCTTAGACACAGGCTGGTCTAAAAGGTGCTGCTGGGGGGAAACAGAGGAGGAGTCGGTGAGATGGAGAGAGGCCATGAGTGATACTCTTTTAGCACAAATACAGACTAAATCGTGAAGTCCTTGCTAAGCGACTTCCCTGAAGCCAGCAGATGCTGTGCCTGAGACAGGACTTGCTTTCAACACATTAAATGCAAGGATCTCTCTCTGACTGCAAGAGCAGCCACACAGGGGAAATGGAGGAGAAATAAAGACAACTTCTATGATATTTGAAAGTCATGAAATAACTGCAAAAAACCCCAAGTGAGGCCTCTTCCTGAGGACTCTGAGAGTGGTTCATAAACCCGTATTTTATCTCTCCACTCTTCATCAAACAGCGGAGGCAAGTTCTATAAATTGCTCAGGTGTCCCAAAGATTTATTGACCTACCAGTCCTGATTTCCCAAGCCTGACACTTCAGCGTAGTGCAGAGATAAACACCCTGCCACCCTCTAGGGCCTTGCGCAGACAAGAGAATGTGACTTATAAAACCTACACGTTTTAGCTCATTTTATTCCTTAGCTAGTGCCAAGGACAGGCACGAGTTCCCACTTCTCGGTAGGTCCCCTCCAGCCATGGTCAAGTCAAGGATGTCCACACCAGTGTCAGCCTGACTGCAGGTGGAAGAACCCTCCGACTGGTTAAAAGCCTAATAGGTAAAAAAAAAAAAAAAAATGTTACCTGAGTCTTTGCCATTTTAAAACACATTTTTTCTCTAAAGACTCATAAAACAGACAACCACCTTGCCACCGTCCTGGAGCCAGCTGAGGACAAGGGACTCCTAGACCCCCGTTCACAGCGTGTTCATCGAATGCTTTGAGCCACACGGTTGGTCCTTTCCATTGCCGGGAGCTGGACTGGGCTCGCGGGGGGAACATCTCCTACCCTCGTCCCAGGCCTGCAACCGCCTCTGCTGTGAAAGAGCAACCCCCCAAACCTCCCAGAGCCGCCCCTTAGGCACTGAACCTGAGTGGACTGATGCCCAGAGGAGTCAGTGCAGGATTTAGCTGGCATGGCAGAATTTGGTGCTCCCGTTCCCCCAGGGGACCTCGCAGAGCCCTTGCCCTCCTGAACGTGTGGCAGCCAGTGTTTCTGGGGCTTGCTCTGGTCCCAGCTGTCTCCCTGCTGACGGCTCCCTGTGCTCTCTCTCGAAGGTGTGTGGGGCATTTCTCTCCTCCGACTGGAGTGAAAGGAAAAAGAGCGGGGCAACATCAGGCTTTTTTGGAACAGGGGAGTGCTTTGTGTTCACTGTAAGTCACATTTTATTTCTGGGTTTACGCTTACGGTTTTGTCTGTTAATTACTTTTTCCTTTACCCCTCTGCCAACTCAGGGCATGGTGGCACTGAGCTGCTTCCTTGCCACGGTCCCGCCGCTGCCCCTTAGCTCTGGCAGGAGGTAGCAGTGCAGAAATTGCTGTGCTGGATCACAGCAAATGGAGAACGAACTCCTGCCTTGGGTGAGCCGTCTTGTCCCAAGCCCCCAAGGCAACGTGCAATAACCCCGGGTGTTCCTTGGAGCATCCTCCTGGGATGACAGCAGGGCAGCATGCGCGGCAGGGCGGATTTCGTCCCTGTTTGCTCGGGGCAGCTCCTGGGTGGTGGAGCAATGCCAAATCATCCCCAGGGTCCCTGCAGAGGGAGCAGGCTGACTTGGTCCAAGAGATCCTGGGGGCAAAGTCTAGTATCCATCCAGTATCCCACCGGCGTCGATCCAGCATCCACTCAGTAATGTGGGCACTGCAGGTTTGCTCATCTTGGGCAGCACCTGGCGAAGACAAAACCAATTTCTCAGCCACAACCACCTCCAGAGCAGCCCTGGCACTGCCAGGACACCTTGTCCCTTCCCTGCCCCAGGTCCGGACCTGGCACATAGCATCTGGCCCCTGACCCGCCTGGCCAGGCAGCACCATCTTCCACCTGCAATGGAGAGATGCCCCAAAGGACAGGGTTCACCATGTTTCTCCTGCTTATCAGGTGCGCCCTGAGACAGAGAGGTACGAGTGGGTGTTCATCAAGAAGCCGGAGCTGGCCAAAGCCGTGCCGCGCTCACGCCAGCGGTCGCCTTCCCCCTCTCCCGTGTCCCTCTTCGGCTCCTCCCCAGACAGCCGCGGCACCAGCTCAAACCGTCTCACCGTGCCCACGCTGCAGAGGAAAGGGCGTCTCTCCCCGTTTCTGGCCATCAGGCATTTCCTTCTGCCTTCCAAAACAGCCTCCATGTTCATGTCTGGGTCTCGGGAAGGGATCATTATCGGTAATTACTGAATGGTGGGCACTGACACACCCCTGCTTTGGCTGAAAAGGGCTTTACTCCAGATTAAAATCTGAGCTGCCTGTAGAGGCCAGTACCTCCTGGTTTAAGATACCAATCTAAAGTCAGGGGAGAAGAAGTCAGCCCCCTCTTCCTCAAATTAGCAGGAGAGCACAAAGTTGCACAAGGGCAAAGATGCTCCTTGAGAGCCCCAGAGAGGCTCTGCCAGCCAAAGGGGAGGACCACAGCCCAAACCTCCGGGAGAGCTTTGCACCCTTGGGGCTGGTGTGTCCTTTCCCAGCCCTTTCCTCCACTTTGTGCGGGAGGGAGAGGAGATGCAGGTGGGGATCAGCCTGAGGAAGGGCCAGGCACGTCACCCGGAGCAGACGTGCCAGCTGCCTGCCTGCACTGCTGTCTGCCAGGTCAGGCTTGAGCTCGGGGGTTGAGGCTTTGTGCCCCAGCACCGATGGGGTGGGCTCAGAGGACTGCAGCAAGTCAAAAACGCTTGCAGCACAGCCTCTGCCTGCCTTTCTGCCCTTGGGAGCGGGATCAGGGCAAGCCTGGCTGTGGGGATGCAAGGAGCTTTCCTTGTTCTCCGGCTCTCCAAGCAGTTTAATAATTCAGCTTGTGCTGCCAGGGCAACCTCTCGCACTGGCTGCCACGCGCCAGCTGCCCTGCAGACAGCTCTCCAGGAGCTCTGCCTCCACGCCGACATCCTGATCAGCAGAGAAGGCAGCTCAGGGCAGCCCCAGCCCAGCTCTGTGCTGTGGCTGAAGTACAGAAAGTTGAGAGACGGGCATGATCCCGAGAGACCTTGTTGGCTGGGCCACTGCCCCTGCTTGGGCAGCGAGGGGGGGAGAGCGGATCCCAACCATCTTGCTTGCTTTTGCAGGTGGAGGGGGAGGCCAAGCTCTGTCCCTCGATGGCGACCTGCTCTGGGGGCGCACGGAGCATTGCGAGACCTTCGACAACCCTCCGCTCTGCCAGGAGAACTTCAAAGTGCAGCTCTTAGAAGTGTGGGGCTTTCAAAACACATAGGTCCTGTGGGGGACAGTCCCTCACGGGCTGCCACCCCAGCCTGGCTGTTGCAGTCTCTGCCGGCAGGGCCGCGGGCAAGGGCACCTCCACTCACCATCCTTCCCTCCACGATCAGCCGTCATGGTGGTGTGGAGAGAGGGCAGTGCAGTGCCGGGAATGGGACTGTGGGCGTTTGACATCCTCTCCTGCAGTTTAGACTCAGCCCGTTCCACCCAGTCTCTCCCAGTTTAGGATGCTGGAGGGGAGGGGAGCCAGTCTGGTGTTTCTCACACCCCCCTGGCCTGTTTGTGGCTTGGAGCTCAACAGCAAACCAGTGGTACCACAGCTTAGACAGACTGTAGGAATTTTGAGCTGAGGCAAAACACAACACTGAGGTACAAATCTCCCCAGAAATGCTCTCAGACCCCGCTTCCCTGTGGTCCCAAGCCCAGCACCACCCTTCAAGCCATACACAGAATTCTGTAGCTTCTGTGGGTTACCAGGACTCCCGGTGTCACTCACCGATCACCATCCAGCACAGTGCAAGAGATTCCTTGTTTGTGGTTGAAATTCCTCATCAGGAATTAGCAAAGACCTACCTGGTGTTTATACACCTGCAGCCAATAAGAACTCCCCAACTGTGTCATTTTTGTATTAAACTGAAGAGCTATACTCACCACAAAGGGCCAATGCCAGACTGCGAGCATATGATACTTAACCATCATGCCCCGACTACCTGGGGTCAGGACAACAGGAGAGGTGCCATTTTAAAACATGAAATGTGAACGTGTACGTCTAGCTTGGTCAGGCAAGGCAGCCCTCACAGGAGGGGTGTAGACCGTCATCATTCTGACTGCAGGATGAGAACACCTCCCATGTCCAAATATACTTTCCACTTGTGGTTTTACCTTTCATATATTCCACTCCTCAAGCAATTCAGAACTGGAGCTATCGCTGCCTTGGTGCCTGCTTCCAGCGGTGGCAGGAGGACGCAGGCAGGAGCAGGCGATGGCAGCAGGCCCACACTGGGAATTGCCTGTAGCCTTCAAAGTGTGTCAGGGTAAGATGAGGAGGTGAGGCGTAGTCCTCCATGTCCTGTGCCTGGCCTTTGCCCACAGAGCTCAAGTGAAAGAATATCGCAGAATTACTCTTTCCATTCAATTACAAAGCTCTGCTAGGGTGTTCACAGAGTATATTTCTTTCCATGATCTTGTGCTGAAAGTTTCCCACAGCAGTCTCTCTTCCTTCCCAAGAGGCTGTTTCTCTCCACCCAGAGATGTACAGGCCGCACGAGATGCCTGGAAACGCAAAGCCCTTCATGGGCAACCTGGCCTGACCTCCTCTTAGCATCTTCAGAGCATTTCCTTGTAAAGGGCAAGCAGGCCCCAACTAATGTATTAAAATACCAGAGGCTGGAGATGTGTCGTGCAGGCCATGGATGTCTCTGATGCGGTGGCAGAGCCTGCGAGTGAGTCCCTTTGAGGCTGTAAGCGCTGCGTACCTCCGCTACTCGCCGATTAGAGCTGTAAATCACAATGGATGTCAGTGCGTTTATTGCATTCACTGCCTGTAATCTGATGAGCGCCTTTGCCATTTCTGAAAGGGACGCTACAGTCCTTTCTTCTCATTCTTTATTCCATTACTGAATAAAGTTCAAAACTCTTAGAGAACAAAAAAAGCATAGGGGCCGGGAGGCTGAGGGACGTGTAACGGGATACAAAGAGATCTTTCATCTCCGTTGTGCTGTCCCTTGACTGCAGCGGGGTCAGCAGGGGCCAAACCGCTGCTCTGCGCTGGGGCGGCCAGGTGAAATGGGGCCAGGATGGGCTGGAGGGCAGCACCAGCGATGACTGCCGCTCCGGCCC